TGGGCCTCCTTTTCTCTCAGGAATAATTGGTGTGGGTTTTACAGTTTGTTCTGGAACTGCAGGGGACTTCCTGGCAAAATCTTTTAAAGCGGAGAAGTCCAGAACGGAACAACATTTGTTAATCATTTTTGGTGTGTAGGTAGTTTAGAGCGAGGTGTACATAATTGAATGCAAATCATGCAAATGAAGAACTAATTTGCATAATAAAAGAGGAACTTCTGTAATTACAGTGATAGTACTTTCATACATGTAATATATGTAATCTATGGCATGTGGAACATCAACAGATTCCAATTATGCAAATAATGACCTAATTTGCATAATTCATGTCATAATTTGTAATGATTTCGTAATGGTGAATGATAAGAATGTTATACCTTGTGGCATATGTAAGGTTTACATCACTATGCAACAAACTTGATGATTTTACTGGGCTAAAACTCTGGCAGCTTGGTGATAACCAGTTAGGGTAATGTGCTACAGTGCCCCCTGTTTGTCATTGTAGTAACTGCAGCATGATAAGTAATCTAGTCAAGTATATTGCTTCTCTGGAGGTATTTGCTCTATGAGCATTCTTTTGGTGTTTTGATTGCAGAGCAAAGGCAGTGTTAGTGCTTTTTGGGAACCTAAGTCATGGAATTTCATCTAGAATTCATAAATCTGCATATCTATGGTATTGTTAGTACATTTATGGTGAGACTATTGAATACATTTTGTAGTTGTCATGATAAAATCCATCATTTCTGAATCAAGATACAAAAAACGTCTATTCTAAGAGGTATGGAGGCATTTAAAGAGATTCTTAAAGAGAGTCTTAAAGCACAACTGTTGTTTTGCACTTTCTGGTATTTTCCTGTGATGTCTCTCTACAGACTGTCTCCTGATGCCCATGCCGTGCTATGGAGGTGTGTTCTGGGATGTGGGAGGTCGGGCACAGATCCAAACGTTGCCTGTTCACCTCAGCAGTAAGGTAGGAACACCAAAGGAACCAGGACCACATGTAGATTGATAAGCAAGATACAGTAGATGCCACTTTTTTGCAAAGCCAATTTGCCAGCGCATTTTTTGTTCAATTCCGATTGATAGAGGCTCAAACTTTCGGACTTCATTGAGACTATGGGGGTGGACAGGGAATTGAACACAAATAACGACACAAAGAATACAAACACGGGTCATATTTAACTATTAATAACAGTGAACTTTATTTAGATCAGTTAATTTTTTTTCGTTTACGTATTTTATTGTTTTCCAGACATGAAGAATGCTGCAAATATTTACGCTATCATCTGCTATCGTCTCCAATTCTTCTCAAATGAATAAACACTGCTAAGTATGCTACGTACAAAACCAGCAAGGAATGTCAGCCTGCAAATACTTTTACATCACAAAAGTAGCAAAAAATGAAGTTAGATCTACGAAAAACTTAAATCAAGTAGCGTATAGACATACTGCACACGATTATCACAAGTCATTGATCGCTTTGTTGTTGCCTCCATAATTTTCAGAAACTCCGACTAGCACATGAAAATTGTCATATAGCTAAATGCAACAAGAAACTGTTCATTTCAATGTTAATGACTTTTTAGGTTACGATGTCTGTAGATTACATGGAAATTTCAAATTTTGCAACAGTTGATGGGGATTTTTCACAATAGAAAACAAAGATGGCGGACGTGGCATGAGTAACATATACAATGTAATACCATTTAGCATTGAGTTGATGTTTGGTGTTCGGGCATCCTGTAAAAAAATATCATTGTTTTGAAGTTTGTATACATTTGTATATATAATATAATTCATTGGTTGCAAAAGATGAGGAGTGCCTCACAAAAGCACATATGGGCAGGTCTACAAAGGAATATTCAGCAGATGTTTTCAATGTCTATTTTTGTCACAGATGGAAGAAGGAGAGACAAAGCCTTTTCAACTTACAGCCAAGAAGATTGAGGACACCTACAACGAAGCCACAGCAGAGGTTAGTGTCAAAAACATGTCTTTGTCCTTAAGCCTTCTCAATTAACACTTTTTCCAGGACTTGAGAAACCCTGTAACTTCTTCCTGTATGTCTCCAACAGGGAAAGAAGATTGTTGGCATTCTTCTCATCAACCCCCACAATCCACTGGGAGATATCTACAGTCCTGAACTTCTCATGGACATTCTGAACTTCTGCCACCGGTGGGTTTGTTGTACCTGTCCAGAAAACAAAATATTTCATCAAAATGCAGTAGTATGAAGCAACAGTCAACCATCTACTGTGAAATAGCATGATCACAGATATACAGCAATGCATTAAAGCATATAATATGGGTACAATACAATTTTATGTGCATTATATTTTATCAACACGTTTATCATCTAACCACTGCCAGATAGGTTGCTTTGCATTTAAGCTTTTTTTAAATTCATTTTGGAGTCGAATTTATATGCAGTTTTATTGAATCAAGCATCTGTTTGACTGCTTTATTAAGCAATAGTGTAAAAGGTAGTCTCCAAATAAGCAAGGACAAATGATGTACTAGGCTTGTTACCTTGCAGATAGAAGCAATGCATACCCCAGTGAAGTCTTCATAGACCTATAGTTTTGCTCACTTCCAGTCACTCCCTGCACGTCATCATGGATGAAATCTACATGATGTCCATATTCGACGGTGAGGCCAAGTTTACCAGTGTCCTCAGCCTGCCAAAGTGAGACTTTCTTTTACTCTTCTCCTTTCAATGTAGAATTGTTCAAAAGATTTCATGAGAATTTTTACTGTGAGCGTTCCTCGGGTAATAAGCACTGTTGCAATGAACTTGGGGTTTATTCTGAAAAGTTGCAATGTTGAGTTTGAGTAGTAATGCATGTTTTTGTTGTTGTTTTCATTAAACAAGTAGGAACCTCAAGAATAAATTTAAGATTGGAGGATACTTTGGAATGCAGAGCAAAGCAGAACATACTAATAGAATTATTAATACAATGATAATAGCTTTTGGGTAGTGTCAGAATGAAGGCCTTGTGAAAAGTGACATGTTCAAGCAAACATTGAAATAATTTGTTATACATTGTGATATCATGTTTTAACTTTGAGCTCTACTCCATCTGTTGCAGTATCCCTGATCCCCAGAGAACTCACATGGTTTGGGGTTTTGCCAAAGTAAGTACTGGAGACATCAAGAACTTGAAGCATTAGCAAGGTGGCAATGTTCTCACAACATTAGCTAGTTTTCGTATGGTCTTATGACTCTTATCGATATGGTATGTTTCATCTCTAATCATCCCTGCCCAGTGTATCTTAGGAGCTTTTCTTACAAGTGGCAACATCATGCACTGAGCATTTGTACATGGAACTGATGAAAGGCTATCCAGTCTGCTCAGTGCAAAGCCACATAGACCACTTGTAGGCACTGAACTAATGCTCCCTGCAGAGGCATCTCTTCTCCCTAAAGCCTCGGTCACAACCCGCCATATGCACAACTGTGTGCTGTTTAGGTGTAAAAACGTGGGCAAATTTTTGGGGATCCGTAAGTGGTGAGTACCGCCTCTGTACAGAATCAAGGTTTGCAGCAGCTTTAAGTATTACTGTGCCTTACACAGTTGTTGTTGATTTGTTGTTCCAGGACTTCTGCATGTCAGGGATGCGGTGTGGTGTACTGTACAGTGAGAATGAAGCCGTCAACAAGGCTGTGGAGGCCCTGGTCTACTTCAACATGATTCCTGGGCCCATTCAGCACATGCTGACAGAGATTGTTCTTGATAAAGGTGTGTTATTTTATCTTTACCCTTGTGTGGGCAAATATTTCAACCTGCTTTATCAATCTACGTAGTACATGAGAGGTGAAATCATGTTGGTCTATTAACATGAATTGAAAAGCGAACATTTCTCTACTGCGCCATTGATCTATGGAACACCCTGCCACCCAGTATCAAAACACTGACCAGTCTGCATCAATTCAAAAAGGCCATCCACCAGTTGTACAGTTAAGTTGTATATATTAAGTTAAGTCATGATCGTTTTGTTTAACCTGTATGTAATTTGTGATGATTACGACTATGTTCATTCTCTTTTATTTTGTTGTCAGTATGCTCATATGTTTATAAAGGGTTAATGCACTGCCCCGAGTTGTATATGGTGTCATAACTGCATGAGCAGCTGCCATAACCACCGAATAAACCACCGTGTGAGCGAAGCGAACGAGGTGGTTTATGAGGTGGTTATGGCAGCTGCCCATGCAGTTATGACACCATATACAACGAGGAAAAGGCAGTGCATTAAAATTATTATCATATAGCCTATCCAAACTGTCAATCAACACAATTCCTGTTTGAAATACAACAGCTTTAATATATATACATACATAAAAATACATTCGAATATATTATACGCTTTAAAACAAATATGGATAATTTCATTTAATGCAAATTGTAGTTTAAATGAAGCTAAACAAAAAAGTTTATTGGACAGAAAAATGCTACAAAGGTTTACAGAAAGAGTCGCATGCCCCTATACCCCATAACATAATGGTATCAGCCATAACACGACATGTGCTGTTATTCCGCCATAACACCACATGTGCTGTTATCGGGAAATAACAGCACGGGTATCCGGGCCTCTGATTGGTCCACGCCGTCCGGCTATATGATAATATGTTTTGAACCCTGGAAGACTAGTCGTCTTAGACTAAAGGGTAAACAAATAAACGAATGAATATTCAATTGACTGACTTTTACATCTGTGAAATGTAGGATTTTATTGCTGGTAACGGTTATGACTGCTACAGTTTGTCTTGCATAGCTTCATATTGTTTTTATTAGCATTCTTAAGTATTAGTGTTGCAATTGTTGGTGATTTTTCCATTAGAATGGGTGGACAATGTATTCATCCCCACCAAGTACTCCCGTATGAGGGAGGCCCGCTCCTACATGTGTGACAAGCTGGCAGCTTTAGACATCCCCGTCCGTAAGAGCCCTTCAGGACTGTACATTTGGGCAGACTTCAGAAAGGTGAGCCATGGCCTACATGTACATGTAAAGTTTTACAAATTTAGTCATTTCTACTTGCGAGAACCATCTTTTCACTTGCCCAAAATTTAAATGCATTTTTACTTGCAGCAAGGAAACCATTTTATTTTCAGTTAAACAGCACTTTTAAACTTTATTGTGTTGTATGCTTTATTTACCAAACTAAGGGTACACATGTAGAGACTTGCCATGAATTTTCTGACAGAAGGTCATACATTTGTACTTTTGACTGGCATCATTACAATATTTTTCTGGGTAACAGATAAGTAATTTTGCTACAAACACCATACTGGGGCATAATGCCTCATTCAAAAAATGTACAGTCCAAGGGGATATGGAGTTGCCTGATCTGTGCTTTTTTGGGCAAGTGGACTTGTCCACCCTGTTGTTTGGTGTTATATTATAAAAGAAGGTACTATCCTTGAGGTTGAGAAGAAACTATCCTTGAGGTTGGCTCACCATCTTTGCAGCAGGACAGTTGTTCATGATGTTGCTGGCTTCAAAAGTTTCCCTAAATTGGAATAGCCATTTTTTGCCACATTTTATCCAAGTGTGGCCACACCACTACACACACATGTACAATATACATGTACATGTACTTTGTACCTGCAGCGGTTCCATGCCAGAATCAGATGTATATTTTAATAAGAAATTGATCATCTTTGAAAAGATGATCAATCGTCATCGGCTTTGAACTTTTTCCTAACATATGAAGAGGGGGCAAAGAAAAGGCAAATTCATCCAGTATTCAGGACAACAATCAGGGAAGGATGTTTGAATCATTTGCTTAGGCCTAGGGAAAAAAAGTTGTGTTTCCTGTTTCCCGACCGACCCTAGAAAAAACTGCCGACCCTAGCCTTTTTTGGGTGGACCTCTGCAAGGAATATAAATTTTTTGAGCTGATGGACCTTTTCAAGCTCCTTGATCTGACACCTGAGTGATGAAATGTTGTACGATCAGTTTTTCAACATTGACATTGAAAATACAAGTGTCCTCAAGCAGGTTTTACTTTGTTAAACTGTATTGTATAAGTTTGATCACTAGAGATTGCCAATGTCTGATAAAAAAAGATGATCCCTACCTACTGACCCTAACTTTTTTAGGAAACACAACATTTTTTTCCTAGGCCTTATACCTTAATTTTTCAGGTACTAGTAACACGTTTGTTTTACTTCAACTGTTGTTCCTCTCCAGTACATCCAACCATTGACTCAGGAGAATGAGCTTGTGCTATTTGAAAAGTTCATGGATGCAGGTACTGGTATCATGTTGTTGACTTTCTTAGTAATTCTGACAGTTGCTATATTATTCATCATAGATACAAGTCAGTTAGTTATCAAAGACAGCAAGGCCCAGGAGGTTAGAAAATTCTTGAATCATATAGAGAGTAATGGTTCAATTTCAAGATGACATACTATAAATTTTGTAATCTTTCTTGTAATAGTTCAATCACTCATTTTTTTTAAAGTGCATGCAGTAATTATTTGTTCATCCAAGAAAAGGAAGCATATCAACTTAACTAAGTTTTCAGAGTATTTTCCAGTGCTGTAATGTTTTACAAAGTGCTGGGGTAAACCATCATTATGTTTACAAATAACCGTGCATATGTTTAGGAGTTTACCTTACCCCTGGTATGGCGGCATTCAGATGTGGGGAGCCTGGATTCTTCCGCTTGGTCTACACAGTGTACAGGGACCATCTAGAAGTGGGTGAGTACAAAAAGCAACTTTACACATCATGTATATCTTACTTCCTCAGAAGCACAAGTTGTGCAGAATGAATTCAGAAGTGATAACATTCAATATTTTATGAAACAAGTTTTAACTGCAATTTCCAACCCAAGAAATTGGACTTAACCAAAATTTTTGACTGTACAACTCCTTTGTTGAGAAATGAGCAATCCACCACTTCCAAGACGTCACGCAGATAACACACGTGACTCCGTGAGCAGTGGATCGTAGGTTTCAGAAAGTCTTCTACCAACACAGATGAACTTTCATGATAACATTCAATATGGGTGTTCCAGCCTGTGTGATAACTACATACGTCATGTATCACACAGGGTTGTAATGGTTATCAAACAGGCTTCTGGCTTGAGTATGCCGCTTTCCAAAATATGAATACCATATATGGATGTTGGAATTGATGTTGTTACAATTTTTTTTAGTCATTTGTTCAACCTTTATCACCACGTAGATTTCATAATGAAGGTAACTTTTTTTTTGGCAAAACTTTTTTTTATTGGCACGCTCGCATCAGTTTGGGGTTTCCCAGACGATGTCATCCATATAGTCAAATCAACATGGCCTTAGGGACACCAAATTTTGGCCCATTTTGCATTGAAATGTGTATTTTGTTGGGTGGGTATGACATACATGTAAATAAGTGCAACAAGCATATTCCACATCACCATTTGTCCCAGCCCTATTGCGGGTTGGATCTCCCTCCAGCCTTCGGCCATCCTGTGAACTGACCCACTGTACTGGTATGTCAGAAGATATTGAAAGGTAGCATACGGCAATTTTATAGTAGCTCTCTCACAAAAAACACATCACCTTTTATCTATTTAATAGAATAGAACTGATAAACACCTGTCGAAGGTCGACAAGACCGACTGAAAACTCATAGTATTTGTGAGCTCAAATTTCACAACTACGGATTCTTCCAACACAGAGGGGTTTCACAATAAATTGCTTTCAAATTCAATCCGCAGAGCATAAACAGAGCACAAATTCTTTGTGAACTCATGCAGTTATATTGTAACCTGTACATGTACAATGTACTGTTAACCTGGAGGTCATGTGTTTGAGGAGAGCCACACCTCGAGCACGTTAAAGATCCCACCACACCTTTCGAAAAAGAGTAGGGGCATGCCCCGGTGTGCGATGGTCCAAAATTCTACAGCCCAAATACTACAGTGTAGCAGAATCATCAGCAAGTTGATGTTGGCTACCTTAACCCCCAAGACCAAGACCAAGACCAAGACCACCTGTATGGGAACTGGGCAAAGTAGAAGGTGGGGGTAGATTTGGGGTGTTAAAGTTGCTGTAGGTACAAACATGCAGTGTTCTATAGGTAGGCTGGATTTTTTTCCATCATCTCAATTTTGTTTTAAGTGTTGCGCCAGAGGAAGACAACCCTGGGGGGGGGGGGGGGTACCAGGGCATGCTCCCCTGGGAAAATTATGAAATCTTGACCCTCTGAAATGCTAAAAGGTACTTCCTGCATTTTGAGGTGCAAATTTTGCTGGTTACTGTAGCTACTACTACTAAGCTTAGTTAAATGACATTTTATATACCAAGCTGATTTTTGTTTGTTGTAGTTGCCAAATTGGGCAAAATTTTTGTCTGTCAATGAGTGTCATGAACTGAAAAATTCTATCAAATAATGCTGACTTGATCACTGCATATATGTACATATATCCCACACAGCATCAAGCCATTTCAAGAATTGCTAGAGTACATTGTAAGGGTAGGTCCTTATAAACTTCATTGTACAGAGGCAATTGTAAGGCTAAACTACCTAACACAAAAGTGTGAGGGTAGTATGGTATGGGAATGTGCTTGTGTAATCATTGATGATCTTGTCCCCCCCCCCCAGGCATGGAGAGGATAGCAGCAGTGTTGAAGGACTGTGCAGAAAACGGGCTCACCAAACCTCCAGGAGGTGCCCAAGCAGAAGTCCCGACTACTGCCAACGGTAAGGTACTGTCACACTCTGCTCTCTTTACCTTTCCAATTATAGTCCTTATTTTGTTTACTTTCCTTTTTGTTTTTTTATTTTGTGTCTATAATTTCACGCACCTTATTTTTTTACCTCCTTTCTAGCATTTGATTCGACATTTGTGACAAAAACATGTACATCTTTTCATTCTTTGAATGCGCCAAGTAGAGGTATGGTGATGGGTAACTTAACTGTCTGAACAGTGCCTTTTTGTAACTTCGTTGGCTTTTTTTTTTGCCATCTTTTTTTTGTGTTTTAGGGTCAACAGATCCATCCATTTTACAGGCTCCTTTGTTTGTAACCCTTTGTTTGTCTTTGATAATTCCTGTCCTTGAGAAACACAGTCACCAAATAATTTTCTGACATAACCTCATACATTGTATATTTAGGACTTTTGCCCTGACATTTGAGAAGGGGGTGAAATGAAGGACATTGTGTTTTATTTTGCAGCTTTCATGGATAATGTTTGTTAAAACCCTGTCTGATATCAGTAATATACATGACTATGCATTGTATACATTATGTGACTAAACAAACGTTACAATATTGACAAAAGGAAGGAAGGATCTGTGAAATTTTCAAAGTCATTTTGTGAAATTCTTTACAGCTATGAGATGTGCAACAGTTCTTACTGTGTATTATAAGGCCACACCAATTTGATTTCTTGGTTAACGGATTCGCCCGCTTCATTTTTTTCTGATTTGCAAATAAAAATAAAAATTCAGAATCAACTGCAAAATGCTCATATTTTGCCCTGAACAGTTGAAAACAGCTCTTTTCTTCCTAGTTGTTACAGTTATTCCATCTTTCAATGCAGTGATATCATTAAAAGTTCAAAATTCATTGTTTAAATTTTGAACCAGCCTGGTGTGTTGACTTCATGGCTCCTATCGTGCCATTTTGGGCCATAATAGGATGCCTAGGCCTGTTTTTATGTTTATATTTTTTTTCGCCCGCCTACTCCATTATTTTTCTAGAAAAATCCGTTAACCAAGAAATTAAATTGGTGCAGCCTAACTAAACTATTGCTAACCCTGATTGATAATGTTACTTTTCTTCAGTAAAAGAAGAATCCCTAGAGGACCTTCTTGGACTTCTGAAAGGAAGGATATCATCCTCAGGTTGGCTGGAGGAGACCAGATCACAGAACTGGGCAACCCAGAACCCAGAAGCTTTAGAACAGTTCAAACAAGCTATGAAATCCCAGGAGGGATTTGGGGACACATAGCCATCAGAAAACATAATGTTGTGTGTTGAATGTTGTAATCTTACTCCAAAGATTGACTTGACTTTATTTGGATCCACATTTAGCATACAAAACTGCAGCTATTCTTCCTGTGGTCCATTGACAAAAGATCAACTAAATCTACTCAGGTGTTTGACTCTAATCAAGGAGGTTGTATCCAATTCTACCTCTATGCTCTAATACTAGTAAGAGTTCTCTGATCTTTTCTTTATAGATGTGAAAAAAATCTTGAGTAGCCAAATAGTTCTCTGACAACCCAAATCGTTTCTTGAAACAGTTACATATTTTCTAAAATTGACTTGTTACGTGTTTTAACATGTTTAGCATAGCTTTCCACTTACTTGTGCTAACTTGTGTCAAGTAACCCAAAATAAAAGAAGTGTGACAGATGATTGGGTGTGTTTTGTCCCTTGTATTTTGCTACTACATGTACCAGATACAGTGTATATTTCATACTGAGAAAGTGATGAACTGCTATCAGCTGTAAGATTCTAAACTTATCCGATGTTTTTGAGTAAAAGAGTCCTTGGTCTTATTTGCCAACAAGTTCCATTTGCTATATTTTGGGGCAATCGTTAGTTTATATATAACTGATAAGCTATAGGTTTGACCTGGCTACTTGACATGTTAGATACACAGTTGGAACATACAAATTTGGATTCATTGATCTGTAAAGCCTTGAAGTCTTGGAATGATCCTGACTTCAGCATGTCTAGGGTTGAATGAGATGACTTCTCTTGCTTTGTAGGATATTGTTTGATTAACGAACATGGTGCTAGAATCATGCGAATCTGTGGCTGCCTCCCTTGAGAATCATCCAATGCAAGTTCAGGGCAGCAAAACTGGATTTTCAAAGTCATTTTTCTTTTTTTTTTTTTAATTTAGTAACGTTAGATCTAAGTCCGATCAATCCTATCCAATAGCATACTGGTATCTGTGAGGCCAAAGTGTGATATCGCTGACGGAAAAAGTTTGTTTTGTATGGTAGTATAGGCTGGCTCGAGCTATTTATGGATGGTACACGTGGCTTTTAAACAGACGCCTCGCGTAGCTTTTTGGGGGGCTGTTTCAAAGTATAAAAAATGATGACGAAGATGTGCTAAAATGTTAATAACTTTCAATATCAGACAGATTGCGTTATCCAGAGTATTTTGTTGCGATGAAATTGCATTGGATGCCTTGAACTTTAATCCCTTCATAAGTTAGAGGTGTTTCATCAGAACGCAGGTGGTTCCGTTGCGCCCTTCCCTCCCAGATGTACTGTAGATGATATTTGCGTTCGATCTATTTGACTATTGATCTCCGTGAACAAATACGATGTACATATTTGTACATTGTAACGATAAGTATCCTTATTGTTTCTCACAATTTCATACATACAACAGGGAAAGATAATTGCATATTGTTAGTTATAATAGTGGTGTTCGCCTAAACCTTGAACTTGAAGGCAATGTCGCAGTATCTAAACTACTTTATCTCGACTAAGTGTGGTATTTATTACAATTTAAACTTCATAAGCTTCTACGCTGTGAGACTTCTTGGCTTTGAGATTGCTCAAACACTGCATGTTTCTGGCATAGTTCAACAGGTAGGTTCTAAAAAAATTGTAAAACAAGTACACCAGTGAAATGAGTGTATTTTATTAGGGATATTTTTGAAGATTCCCAGTTCTCTAAGCAGTTGGGACGCAGTCATTATCGTAACAGAAGAGGCACTCGTCTGCAGTGGTGGCCTCGTCACAGCAGTAGCACTGGCGCCGCATGTCGCCGCACCAGTCCAGGGTCAGCCAGTGCGCCACGGCCGGACAGGCGTCAGGCCCGGTCTGGAGCGGGCTGGACACGGACAGGGTGGCCGGTGGGAGGTAGAAACACAGGCTGCCGTCGGGCAAGGCGAACTTCTGAACAGCCAGGCCGTTCGGACAGAGAACAGTGGGCAGGAATTGCCGGCGTTGACGGTTGCCTTCAAACGGGAGATACACATAAATGTACATGTAGAATTGTAGATTCCTTTCTGGGCGTCATTTCAAGTTACCTAGAAAACATCCCCTTTTTTCTAATATAAGTTACTTTGACATGAATGTACACCCTGTCGGGTTTTCTCCTTATGGTGGATATTGATTATATTGATTATATATTCATACAGTAAAGGCATCCAATGCAATTTCAGGGCGGTAAAACAAAATATTCTGTCTGAGGAAATTTGTCTGAAAGTCTGTCATTTACTGTCAATTCTTAGCAAATTTTTGTCCGACGTCCGATCATCTCATACTTGAAGCATTTGAAATAGCCCAGAAACAAACTACGTGAGGATTCCATGTTTTTGGTACCACACATAAATAGCTAGAACCAACCTACGATACAAAAAAGCAAGGTTTTCTGTCAGCGACATCGTCTTTTTTCCTCACATATCAGTAGGCTATGGGATAGGGTTGATTCAGCTTACTACATTAAAAGATTAGCCAGAAAACTGACTTTCAAAATCCAGCTTTTTCGCCCTGAAATTAAATTGGATGCCTTTAAGATAGCTGAGCTGCGTGTATGACGGCTCACTGAAGTTTTTTAGCTCCAGTAAAATATTAAGCAGTTCAACCTATAGTTTGATAGTTCAACTTTACCTGGGGCGGCCTGTCCCAGGATCACACAGGTAGCAAGGAGCAACAGGGTCTTCATCTTGCAATGTTTCTGTGGAATTTGTGCGAAAAATACATTTGTGGTGTTTTAAAACCATTTCTAAACGGTGCATTATGTGGGTGGTCAACAAGCTATTATTTTTCAATGCAGATGTATGACTTCAGCTTATTTATGGCATCTTTTAGTTGTTCTATATGTAGTCGCACTGGACGTGGAAAATGACCACGTCAAGATACCAGTCTCGTATGTTTGTTGATAATGACTGCCGTGAGATCTCGGCAGAAACTTCAACTCACCATTTAGCAATAACAACTACAAGTCAAACATTACTGTCCGGACCATTAAAGTACTAGCTGAGAGCCGAGGTGTGCCGATCTTATATGACACAGTGCTACATTATTAACTGGAACTTAAGTGTTTCATTGTTTACTGTTTAGTTTTGCACATTTGTACTAAACATTGCACAAGACAATTTGTACTAAATGATAATAATACGAAGAATCAGTGTCGAAGAAACCAGAAACGCAACAGGTCTATCTAGGGTTGCGATAAACATTATGTAAATTTGCAAAAGAATAATTTTAAAGATCAGGCAAACTTCCATCCTTAACGTACCTCGATCGGTTCTTGTTGTCGTCTTCTGCTGTGGAGTGTAGATTGAAACATTGGACACTCTTTGGACCTATATAAGTAGTCACAGCCATCTGGGTAGTAGTACACGTTTGTTGACACATATAACAGAGATACATGTTGGAACGGAAATGTTTTTCTTTGTTTTTTTTTTTATTAACAGAACCCCGTGAACGATCGTTGGAGTGCATGATACGTTTCCGTTTTTCCCAGTTGATACTGTGTCCAAACACTGCCAGAGACGATACAAACAGATTTTACCCCCATTTTTTTAGAAAACAGCTGAAGACCACCAAACCGTCCCAGTTCTATAAGCCTGCTACGAAGGCTAGACAGATTTGGTGTTGTCAACGTGCCATGATCTGCACATTTTGCCACTAAGAAACGTAGTAGTACACGTTTGTTGACATATAACAGAGATACATGTTGGAACGGAAATGTTTTTCTTTGTTCAACAGAACCCCGTGAACGATCGTTGGAGTGCATGACACGTTTCCGTTCTTCCCGTGCCAGCATCCCCCCCATGACTTTCAAACTTTATTGTGCAATAAACTTGGTAGTCATAACGACTAAATTGCGCTGATTTTACAGTACATGTACATTTGTAAAAGAACAATTCGTTTAAAAGATTATTAACGTTAAGAACAATAAAACATTATACAAGAATATTAAAATCTGCACACAGCAACAACGACAACGTAGACACAGAGTTTTGCGGGCATTACATCATCGACAGAGTTCTAGGGATAAATATCAAAATGAGTTCTTGTGTCTGTTCGACTTGCTAACAGGTGGTTTCAGTCCCACACGGCGGCGAAGGTTTTAGGGTGTTTCCACTACCGGGGGGAGGAACTGTCTGCAGGGATGTGTGGGGTCCTTCAAGATCCGCTGCAGCTCACGTAGAGAGGCATCATGTCGTCTGGGCTGCAGCGTGGGGAGCTGGTGATGTTCAAAGCCAATGATTTTGCAACAGAGTTTTTGAACCTTTTCTAGGTCGTTTGATAGAGTCTTTGGGAGTCCACCCTACACAGAAGGAGAAGAAGGTCTCCCGTGCTCTTGCCCAAGTGTGAGGGTGGTGCCCATCTCCACTTCGTAGCCCTTAGGCGACACACAATTGTGCAATGCACTATAGCAGGGGGCTAGTCCGCTGGTAGTGCTGTGTGTTTGACCTTCCCACACTCTTTCTCTTATGTGCTGAGTGCTAAGCAGAGAAAGAAGTGTGTACCATTTTTAAAGTCTTTGGTATGACCCGGCCGGGGTTTGAACTCACGACCTCCCGGTTACAAAGCGAGCACTATACCAATTGAGCTATTGCACCGGTACCCTACACAGGCGAGCCGTATTCCAAAACAGGCCTGATGAACGAAATGTAGACAGTCAGTAGTACATCCTGGTCCATCCCATGACGACTCCCCGAGCGCGAGTATTCAATAATCGAGTCAAATATTGCAAAAACAAAATTCCACTCTTAAATACATCATGTTGCCGTAAAGACGCAACAAAATTTTTTTATTTTTATTTTTTATTGAATGAAGCAATACAAGACAAGGACGAAGTGGGGCTGAACTCAAGTTATACAACTTATTTTACAGCCCCACTTAACATTTAACATAAATACAATGGTCATACAAGTAGTGCGCTGAGAAACTAGACCCCATACATACAGTAATATATCTAAAGAGAAGTGTTATATGATCAAACAAAACAGAGTATACTATGTAACAAAAAAACGTTTAGTGCCGCTTATAAAATCTTGAGTAAGTAACATAATTTTTTCATTGTACTCAGAAGGTATCGCAAACGATCCCCTGAGTACAAGATGGAGCCTGGCACTTTCTGAAAGGGCATCTAAATCAATCAAATGACCGATTAAATCAGAGAGATTGTTAAGAAAATCAGCTCTTAACTGAGTAAACAAAGGGCAGTGTAATATAAAATGAGAAATGGATTCGCAGGGATACCCACAAATACATGATGGGCTAAGAATCAAAGCACGATTAAAAAGACTATAGTTAAGATTGCAGGTACCGATGCGTAACCGGGTAAGAAGGGCGCAGGTGTACCTTTGGCCACAAGAGTACCACGGGGGACGAAAGGGGCGTACTAATTTAGTGAGATGGTTTTTAAAAGGTACATAACGTAAGTAGCGAATTTCAAAGTCAACAAAATTTGACTCAATGAAATGCTTAAATCCACACATTTATTCATACATTATCATCTTTTTGAAAGACCAAAACAAACTACAACTGGTTGATAAACATGTCGTGTAATAATGGACAATGAACAATGTTATTTGTATAGTCTGAAACTTTAATTCAAAACTTACTAAGTAAGTACTGAATAGATAAAGGATCTAATGCTACATATTTTTATAAGTGGCGTTACAAAGTTGGGGTGATCTATCTGTAGATATATGTCGAGTATAAATAAAGGCACAAACAAACAAACGTTCATTCTTGAGTAAATCTGGAAGAGTCAAATGTATAACTTTGCGGCGGGGGTACGATGTCATAGCAAGGCGCAGTCACATACTCAATTTCCACTTCGTTTAATACCCTGGCAACCTCTTGGGTACATACAAGACGATCCAGCCAATGGCTAACGTTTTTGTAAGTTGGGTACCCATAAGTGAACGAATTCTAAACATAAGTCTATACACACATAATTGATGATAATACGTGAAATATTAAACATATTAATCATGTGTAAACATTGGTATATTACTTCGCTCAGTCCAAAAGCCGTTTGTAACCGTCATGTCTGTTTATTATTCTTATAGGTTTAATGGTCAGAGTGTTCGGCTCGGAACCAAGAGGTCCCAGGTTCGATCCCTCAGACATGATGCCCCGTGCTGTGCTCTTGGGGCACACGACTTTCCTCACAGTACGGTGGAGTTCATACTGTGTCCAAACACTGCCAAAGACGATACAGGCGGATTTGGTGTTATCAACGTGCCAAGATCTGCACATTTGCCACTAAGAAACGTATTTTTTTTATCATAAATGTTACAATTTTTAGGGTGCTCGAAAGACAGGGTGTGTGAACGTCACCAAAAAAAAGACGGATCCATATTCTGTTTTCTCCTTGTTTCCCACACCTGCTTTCTCCTTGTTTCTCACCATCTATTTGTCGTTTTGAATACACCTTGAGAAGTACTATTTCGACACTTCATCACGACAGAGACACTATTTTCGGACGCGTCCTGTTTCCTGTCACGGATAGTAGGGTCGTGGAGGAGGCGGCAGACCTTGAACCAGCTGCCCAGGTGCCGCATAGGCCACAGGCGCCGCCGCGAAGGCCGCCCCGCCGGGAGGAAGTGAGCACCATCCGCGCATCCGCGGCCTCGTCATACCGCCATTACAACGTCCGCCCTCACAGTCAAGGTCACTGTAACAGTCCTGGCCCTTAACGATGAAAAACAAAGGCATTCAATGCAATTTCATGGTTTCTGGATGAGGAAATCTGTCTATTTACATTTACTGCCATCTCTTAGCACATTTTTTATCAATAAACAAGGTACGTGATACGTCTTTTTTTGGGCACCATCTATGAATAGCTAAAACCAGCCTTCTATACAAAACCGGCAATCGACCGTTTTCCGTCAGAGACATCACCTTTTTGCCTCACAGATATCAGTATGCTATGGGATAGGGTTGATTCAAGTTATTACATTAAAGAATCACCAGAAAATTAATTGTCTTTGACAATCCAGGTTTGCCACAATGAAATTGCATTGGATGCCTTTAACACAATACTACTAAGTCCAAAATTGACTCAAAGGATTGTGAGATTGAGAATTGTCCAGCACAAAACACACGGGGACCCACACCACACTCACCATACACTGGCCCGAGGAGAAGCTGGAATAGGCGCAGTACTCATACCGAGCGCACTGGGCGTCCGTGGTGCACAGCTTACAACTTCCAAAAGGCCCGCAAGCCTGCAGCGAGGAGCGAATGTTGAGGTGATGTTACCAGTCGATAAAAAGACGTACGATTTGTAGTACACTCAGTATACTGTGTCTACAATGTATGTAGATAAAACTGAATGCTTTAGTTGGGATTTTCCTTGTGCAAAACCGGCTTTATGTGTATATTTATTTTTTTAAAATAATTATTTACTGTCTACTAATACTTGTATATGCATCGCAGTGCCAACTTTTTAAAAGGCAAAGGTTGAACATATACCGGTTGTGCAGGCACTGGTTGTACAGGTGCTGGTTGTACAGGTGCTGGTTGTACAGGTGCTGGATATACAGGTGCTGGTTGTACAGGTGCTGGTTGTACAGGTGCTGGATATACAGGTGCTGGTTGTACAGGCCTCGGATACGGGTACACCGGCTGACGCTGACAATCCAGCTGACCGCCCTCTACACACGTGCAGCCTCCAGATTGTTGCCCTGAAGTGGAAAGAATTTACAGTGATACACGTTGTTACCTCGGTCTAATGACGTGGTCTTTGTCTGCAGACACACTCCCATCTGTATGCAACAGACGATGCGAATTATGTACGAATTATTAACTTATATTATAAGTTTGCTACCTCTTTGTTGAGCTCCGCGACTTTTTCGAAGCGGTTGTCGCCAAGTCGTTATAGCAAGAATCTTAGGTCTTGACCAATTTCAAACGTAGAACGCAATTCAAATATAGAAGAACCAGATATGGCAAGTGCACACTGCCTTACACGTACACTGACTACATAGCGCCGTAAATGAGCATTTAGACGGGCACTCTGTAAGATTCGTGATTTTTAACTTATGTGTTTGTCTTTATTGCTTTGTGTTTATTTTCGATCACAATCGATCATGAAATCATACTTCATTTCAGCCGGTGAAGGCTGCTACTGTACTGTACTGTCTGCAAAAAGTGATGTAAATAAACCATTCATTCATTCATTCATTCATTCATTCATTCATTCATTCATTCATTCATTCATTCATTCATTCATTCATTCATTCATTCATTCATTCATTCATTCATTCATTCATTCATTCATTCATTCATTCATTCATTCATTCATTCATTCATTCATACATTCATTCATTCATTCATTCATTCATTCACAAGTGTGGAGATGACCATGAATCTTGTTATAACAACTTGTTATTGGCGTCTTTATCTATTAAATTTGACTACATCATGAGAATAAAGAACACACCTATCCGTATGATCTGCCCAGTACCGGGTACCTTACAGCCCCGCTCCATGCACATCTTTCCTTGGTTACAGGCATAGTCGGCAACTTGCTGGAGATCAACACAGTCGTCCGGTAGGGTGGGACAGTCATAGGCAGCAACACAGTCCCTCAAAATGCCTGCAGGTTTCCATGGTGATGAAATACCAACAAGTCAAGTTAGTATAAAGCAATATATGTATATTGAGTCAGGGCTCGAACTTTTGGGAATAGGTGCACCCTAAAAAATTGGGTGCACAAAAATATTTTAGGTGCACCATCTAAGATAAAGTAAGTAGAATGTCTGCAAAAACTATAATAATGTTTCATTTCAAGACAAGTACTATAACAATAACTGTTATGACCTCACGTTTCTTCTCCTTCTCCTGCCATTTCTTTAAATTGATTCAACTCATTCAACTTCATTTTTGGACCAAATAACATAAAATTTGGCATGAAGGTAGAGTAGACAAATAGCCCCCCCCCCAGGCGTTTTTTTTTCATTTTTGTGATACAGGCTTTTAGAATGGTTATATTTGAGCTTTTTGGCTGTGTTATACTACATGTTCTATAGCAGTGTGTTACCATATCTGGGCATGAGTCATCAGAATGGCATGTAGAGCAGGCAACCAATAGGCATGCAGCTTTCCTCTATTCTCCTCGCTGATTGACTGTTCGGATCTGATTGGGTTAACTCAATTAACACCTGTACAAAGCCATGCTATATTGACAGCATGAACTTTATTCAAGTGTTTTGGTAGGTATATCAAGCTTTCCTGCTCCAGCATTGGAACGCGGGGCACAAACGCTTCTTTTTGTCTTGAAAATCAACAGTTTGCATTATGCAATTAAAAATCCCAACTAATAATGTAAGGGATAGCTATCCAACTGTTGTCACTTCATACTATAGTTATATCAATGTAAAGAATTGTTTTCCCTTGTATTTCTCCTTCTTTCCCTGCCATGTCGTGAAATGTGGTGAAGTCATGCTGAATTTGCTCCAAAGCAAATGTCGGCCTTTCTAGTATTATTTTTTAACTACTATACAATACACCCAGTATTTCGAGCCCTGACCAAGTAAGTTACTTTCTTAGGATCGATACATCATTACCGACTACGAGGAATAGTAGTAGTCTATATAAATGAACATTACTTTCCGGATAGCTTTTGCGAGCGACACAACGTGTTTTGATGTGATATCTTGAAAGTTCAACTGTGATCATCTCTGTTGGTAGTCATATACATGTTCAGAGTTAAAACTTGTGCAAGAGAAATCGCTCTCTCAGTCACTCTGGTCTTCCTCAGAAGGCTGACCCAGATTTATCGTGCGGCGTCTCTGAAGTGTGACGTCAACACTGGGTCAAAGTTAGGCCACACCGAGTAATTTTTCTGGATGACGTCCTCTGCAGACCTATGAAGATCTGAGGGGTGCCAGTAATCCACAACCCAGAACACCGTCTTAAACAAGAACACCTGGTCTTAGGTTTAAGACCTGACACAGGTCGCTTTTCTTGGCTGATCGTAGCCGATTGTTTGTGTCTTGTGTCTGGAATTTATCATCCACACAACTTCGCGATCTCGCCTGTTTGGTCCCTTTCTCTGGCACACAAACAGACTATCGCCATTTGTAAAGAGATATGATTATCTGACTGTGTAAAAACGTGTGATGATACGGACAAGTTCCCTTTTTATCAAGTTGAATGAGGGTCCGAGGTCTGAGTGGGAACTTAGAATAAAAGAAGAAAAAGTAGAAGTGAAGCAAATAGACTGATATTGCTCCAACTGAAGAAGAAGCAAGTTGTCGAGTGGGTTAGTAGTAAGCCTCAACCATGCAGGCCTTCCTAGCCTCTATCAAGCCTGCGACAGACTGTACTCCCCAGTATGTTATCTGTCTATTTTGGCCAATGTCTACTCTTTTATCCAGCTACTTCCCGAATCCTGGTAGAGGCTAAGACCTTCCTATGGGGATACGCGGGATACGCGGGATGGTAGCCTGAATTCGGCAAAAATGGCAAATAATAAATTCACTAGTAGAGTCAGTCGACGGGAGGTTTATTTTCTCCTTGCTAATATTTCTCCGTACTTGGCTAAATTGTACTGATTTCGAATTCGCGTTGTTAGTATGGTGGATACAGTTTTAGTAGTTCTAACTTTGTGCTGGGAACATCGCTTACTCATCCTGTGCCAAGTGATAAATCTTTCCGCCCCGGGTTTCCACAAATATTTACATGGTCCAGGCGACATGCGTCCTTCGTCGTAGGTGGTCTGCTTTCTCATTTTGATTTATAACTTAAATATGTCGACAACATCTTTCTTACCTTGTCTACAAACACATTTCTTCGAGCCGAAGTCGACGTAGACCGTTTCGCCCTCCTGTGCTGGGATACCACCGGTCGAGATACACGGCCTCCCCTGGCCCTCAACCAGCGCGCCCAGCACTCCCCACATCAGGACCGTCACAAGGCAGAGGCGTTGTCTGGACATTTGTCTCCCCATGGTCTTTCTCAGCATCCGACCGTGAAAAACACAAAAATCTCTGTGAGAACCACAAAAAAATGAACCACAGTCAGCTAGATTTGCTTTTAAACTTGAAGTTGTTTACTTACGGCAAGCCGCCACCCGGGCTCACCTCTGCATTCACTAGATACCTGATTCCACCTATCCACGGGGTGCCTTTGATTTTAAACCTCCTTGGAACAACCAATTTCTCCCCCAGTCGGACTCTGGCAAAATTGCGGTGATGTTTCCACTAGATACGCCCCCATTGTAGAAAAGGTCAATGCGTTCTCCACGCTGATTGGTTGGGGAAACTATAAGAACTAAGTACATGTTGTTTTATCATTATAAATAATAGGTTAAAAGCCTGTCACAGGAAAAGGGGAATGGTTAGCTGTGGGTTTGGGTAGCCTCTACCAGGCTTCTGAAAGCGGTCGGACACAGCCTCTGAAGAACATGTCGGTACAGTTTGGGAGCGGCAAACTGTACTGTTTAGCGTACCAACTCCTCTGACACGTTATCTCTTTGGCTAATTCCTCAGATTAGCTCTTTCTAGCTGCTTCCAAAAGCTTGGTAGAGGCTAGGCCTCCTGCGTTAAAAATTCAACTACAAAAGGCAGTATCAAAACTCCCACCCGCCCGGAGGCCTGCACAGAAGGCTAGGTCACGAGAAGCTGAGCTGGGGGTTGGACCTTTACTTTGGAGGCGTGGCGCTGTTGTGAAGTCGCCTGAGGATAAAAACCCTGACACAGAAGTGATAATCTACCATTGGGAAGATGTGTTAACCTTTCAGCGAAGGTCCATCGCTTCCACGAGATCCACGTATGGTTCGGTGCCAATCTATGATCAGGTCCACTCAAGTATGTAACGTATGGCTTACGATATATCATTTGGGTTTTGGTACTGATCAGACATGGTTGGTTAGATAGTGAATTTCGCTACTTGGATTACGCTTATCTCGAAGTAAATGTGTACAGCGCATAATAGCGTATATATGTCTGAACCCAACAAGACGAGACACCCATAGAAAAACACACCACTACTGGTCACGGTACAAAACGAGCAAAAATACAAACAAAACGCGTCTTAGTTATGCATTTGCCTCATTGAGGATTCTTGATTCTTTGTCTCGATAGTGTGATTGTTCAATCTGTAGCTCAATGTCATCAAATCTACTAAATCCTGTGTGAAATCGAGCACAGTAGGTTGCAAATCGCGCTGTCACCAGTTTGGGTCAAATAATCGAATAAGAACACTTTTTACATCAAATGACATTACAAACCTACACGTGTCAAGTAGCGTTGTTGCATTTACGTGGTGTGACTTATCGGACCAAAACATATCAAAAAGCACAACATATCAAACCAGCAAGGAAATCTGCTGACGTAACGTTACATACACGCATGTAAGATTCTGTACGTACCACTACTCAGTATGTCACGATCTAGTCTCGCCCTTTACCTGTACTCTTGACGCGTCTCCGGCCCTGAAGTCTGATGATACCGAGAAGTCAACCTTGTTTACCTGCTTCAGGCCAGGAAGTCTCTCACAAGCGTCTGAATCCAATTACTGTCTCCGAGTACATTTCTAACACCTGATAAATACTTGCCAAATATGGGGGCCATGGGGTAGGCTGACGTCATTGGCAGAGCTAGGCACGGTGCTCCCAGTGGCCAAGGTGGCGGTAGCCTCCTCTGCAGTAGCCTGGTTACCAAACCTATTATAGCTCCCGAGTCCTACATCCTCTCTTTTGCGGAGAGGATGTAGGACTCGGGAGCTATAATAGGTTTGGTAACCAGGCTACCTCTGCAGGCCTCCGACCGGATGGACGTTTCTTCTTCTTCTTTGTGTTATATGGTGGTCAAATTCAACCTCCTGATGCCTCTGCCACATGTATACCGTACATGTACATGTATGCACATGCCCAGATTTGTTCAAGTGTATCTGTATCTGTATAGCCGGTATAACCGCCTTTCGGCGTAACACATTAGCTTCGCAGGCACGCGGCGCGGCGGCAGCTGACTATATTACACCGATCGACTTGTTACACCTAACCCTTGAACTTCTAGCTCTAGACTTTGTTTAAAGCTATCTATTGACAATGCCCCTACTGTACTTGGTGACAGTGAGTTCCACTCTGCGATAACACGTTCTTCTGTCGACCATCGTACAACCGGCCATCATTGTATGACCATGGAGCTAAAAATGTCCTTCGAAGACTAATTTTTTAAACCTCCTAGTAGCTTCCAGGCTATCCGACAGAGGAGGTTACAGCGGTTTCCTGTGTCAGGCATGCATGTAGGTCACCGTAATCCATCGCCTATGCATTCTCAGAAATCCACATCACAGATGAGTCATAATAGAATAGACTTCACCGTATACATGTATTTCCACATGTTCTTGACTAGCGTATACAAGCAGTAAATGAAGACATAATTTGCATAATTAATAAAAAATTATAATTATGTAATGATAAGTGCCTGGAATTACATACTTGGGGTATTTGAAAGTTCAGTGAAGATGAACATCATTAAACATGTATTCAAATCAGGGCCTCATTTGCATAATAAATGAGGAAATGCTAGGATGGCAGTGTTTGTTAAGATAAGGCTGTCTTTTGGTTGAGAATATGATAAACTGATATAATTCATGAAAATGAGGATCCTATTTGTTAAATCAGGGGAAATAATCTATAATTTGTCACTCATAAAGATTAACATCATTTGGCGAAGGTATGAGAGCGGGGAACTCTAGTTATCATTATTACTACAGCCCCCAGAGTCCCCCAGAATTATATGTCCCATTTGACGACGTCATGAATGAGACAGGCTAGTCCTTGTACTTGGTCATTTTACTATAAATACAATTGGGAATTCTGTAAGGATAGGACTCAAGTGCCACTGCAAGTGCATGGTAGGAAGGACACAAAAACTTAAAAACGCGAGTGATGCCATCAGTTGCCATTGATTGAACAAAAGAGAGAAAAGACCGTTTTTGAAAGTTCATTAATTTTTGTTATTTGTTACAGATATGCGTATGGATAGAATACTAGTACTAGTAGACAGTTTGTTCACAGTGTCAACTTGAGGTTTAATGTGAAAGGGATTAACCAGACAGTAAAGAATAAGTATGTCGAGGGTTCCGCCTATATCGACGAAACTACAGCAGTTTTGAAAACTTTCGCCAGGTGTCAGTCTTTCCCAGTTGTGTGTCGATCTCAGGAACACCCCGGCATGTCGCTGCACTGCAGCGTGCCGCCTTCCACACACTCACATCTCAGACAAGCCTTTTCCTGGATGTGCGTCTCGCCTGCATGAAACAGATAGAGCGAGCATGTGGGCAGGGTGGATTAGATGAACTTGAACAGCACTGCTGAAAGGATACGGATGAATTGGAAAGAAACAAAAGTTAACTAACCGGGCATCCAAGGGCGGCAAAAACTAAAATATTCTGGATGAGAAAATCTTTTTCATATTAACTGTTACTGCCATTTCTTATAGCACATCTTCGTCATTGTTTGATACTTGAAGCGTTTGAAATAGCATAAAACAACCTATACGCGAGGCGTCGTTTATTTTTTGGGTACCACCCATAAATAGCTAGAACCAGCCTACGATACAAAACAAGTAACCATTTTCCGACATTGCATTTTTGCCTCACAGATATCAGTATACTATGGGATAAAATTGATTCAACTTACTATATTATTAAACCAAGACCAGAAAATTGATTTCTGTCCTGAAATTGCATTAAGAAATGTCGTCTTAAAAAGATAGAAAGAGAGAGACACAGACAGGAAAGGGGAAAAACTGAGCCATTCCTTTATAAGTCATACCTATACTGAGATATTTGCCCTTGGTGGGAGATTTGCAGCCCCTTTTGGTGCAGACGGTGCAGTAGTCCGGGATGTCCCGTGTCTCCACACAGTCTTTCGGGACGGGAGGACACTCATAGGCGGCGCTGCAACCGGTCAGCTTACCTGGACAAAATGTACAGATTAGCCTTGACACGTCACGAATCTTTCAAATTCTGATCCGTCAAGCTCAGGAAAAATAAATATAGGTCAGTAAACTCCCTCCCACCTCGTCAGTGGATCGCCCCTCCCGTCAGACAGACATGTAACCTGACTCCTCCGGCCTACTTTGACACGGTCACTGGCAGATCCGTAAATAGGGGAGGATCTATAATAACCGGGAGGATAGGGGAGTTGTAAATAACATGGCCGAAACACCTGCAATCAGGACAGGACTGACACATTACTTAGTTCCTTCCTACGGGGGAACGGATCGTAGAATTCGGTAAAACAAGGGAAAATAGTTGGGAAATGAACTCTACCGTACGTGGCTAAATTTGACTGCTTTTGAACCCGCGTTTTTTTTAGCCTGGTGGAGACTTGTTCACGGTTGAAATTCTATATAAATGCATGACGAATAGAAAAATTATTGCAGTTTAATGAAATGACCCAAACTATGAGTATGACAGTCACTTTTAAACCTTTATTGCCTTCGCCAGAAGTCAAAACAGCAACATGTCATAGCGCTCGATTATTGTGTGAAAGAGAGAATACATGTGCGGCGACTTTATTTCTGAAGGAAATATGATTTTATGTTCTATATACGCCGGTTCAAACGGAAATATCCCCGGGCAAACTATAATATTTAAAATCGGTTATAAACGGGAAAATTCGTCCTTTCCTCTCTCCTTCCCTCTCTCCATCCTTTGATCCTTCTTGAAAGACTCCCGCAGTGTGCAGGTAAATCGTTCCGAGAGGTTGTAGGTTATGGCACGATGATAGGAATCAGTTTGAACTGAAATGGTTTAAACGCTTCACTGCCACTGTAAATATAGCAAACCCGGCAAGACAAATTGAATGTCAACAACTCAAAGGCCTCCTAAATCGATTTGTTGTTGCTGGAATAAACACATGTGGGAGAGGGTAAGGAATTTATAAACAGACGGAGATTACAAGTCTTACGTGGGCTTTCGGGAACACCAGTCACGGTGAAAGGCACTCTTTTAGACTTGGCAAAGAAAATATCATCGGGTACCATGCACTTGTTCGTCTGAAAATGGCGTGCGTCACATAATAGGACACACGTTCCTTTTGTGGTTTATTTGAGAAACTTTCCACCCCAAATCTCAACTCCAGGCCATGGTTTAGATCAGCTAATATAATCCTTTTTTTACAAGTTCCCCCGAGCAGTCAAAACACGGCGTTCTGGGTGTTCTTCGGATATTATTTTTCTACCCGGTCTGGTCTTGTAACGTCCTTTTATTTCATGGGTCGTACCAACAACAGCTGCAGATCGTCGCTATGGCAACCGATGACGCAGTATTCTTGGACGAGAGTCCACTCGATCTCGGCATTGCTCGGTGTCTGCTCTCTGTACGGACGTGACGGCGAATGGCTGTATATTATATGTCTAGCATATCTAGTGACCGTTGAACGAACAATTGTCACATAGTTGGATGCCTTCCCATGGCTGCAAATCGCTTACATGTGAAACTATAAAAGCCCAGCACGATTCAAGGGCTGGCAATGACGGCGTCCTACTTACCTTTCGCGCACACGCACTTTCTGGACCCAAAGTCAAGCCACACGGTGTCTCCATCCTTAAACTTATTCCCAATGTCGTCCGAACACGTTAGGTCAGTCATCCCGTCACCCCCGGGGGCTGAATACACCTCTTCCCCACCCCCTAGGGCTATCACAAGATGCACTACTACCAAAAACAACATGGCTGCCCGTCCGTCTGCCATTCTTGAAGACTGTTGTTAAGATAAGGCTACGACAGGTATGCTGCCTACTCAATGGTTAATGTTTAACAAAATAAAGACCGCACCTGAGTAACCATCAGCCGGTACTTGGAAAGGCTGTGGGTTTGGCGCTTGTTTTTGGATTCTATATATATATTCATAATACTTTGCTGCTAATGAATGGTCTTTTCGGCTCTTTTTGTCTTTAATTTTATACATGTTAGTAATCATAATCATGAACGATGTATATTACTTTCAGATAGACCAAAATCAAAACAATGTGTACATGTCTAGTCCAGCCAAGAGAAATGATACTTCACTGACACGTACCAACTGAGAAGCGATGTCAGCGATACTATAGTGATAGCTCTCTCCGTGCCTGGTGAACAATTTAGACGTGTTGAATACATAGTATGACTGCAGTTTTGGGGAACAGAACACAGAGAACTAAAGCCCCATTATTTAGTATTTTTGGCCGTTTAATCTTAAACAAAATGTCAATTTTCCGGCCGTTTTTACTTGGTCCTTAGATATCATGGTGAGCCACGATGTAATAGATGAGACCTTTGAAAACAGTCTCGAACTTCGCAGCACACAAGCCATAGCTCGTACCAGGCTGGAAAGTAGAAATTGGCCAAATAGACAGATAACATGCCTCCCGACAAATGTACTCCTTATCGAACCGACGCCCCTGGCACGTTTAAATCTGTCTCAATTTCTACTCTTTCCAGCCGCTTTCGAAGTCTGGTAGAGGTCACACGCGTCATACAAATCGTATACTTTCAGGAAACAAAACTCAGCTGAGCAGACGGCAAATTACAGCAATTTTTGATTCGGTGCCAAAACGCTTCTTTTTTTACTCAGTCCAAAGAGCAAATCAGAGAAAAGGCACCTGTCGTCTCCACTTTCGTACATGTAAATGTGATAACGCTGCACTTCAACACTGACACTGTAGGGCACCTTGATGAGTTGCATCTGATAACCTTGACCTATCATTAAAGAACTTTTGAAATCTGAACACCCCTCACTGTTACTGTTCAGACAGTTGGCGCAGCAAATCCAGCAAACATCCAAGCTAATCAAAGTGTGGGAGTAGTGTGTGATTACTAACATGTGTGCAGACTAGGTCGATGCGCTGTGGCTGTTATAAAGTAATGCACGTATCTGCGGAAAGAGGAATTCAAGCAAAGAAATCCATTCGATAAGCTTATATAGATTGTGATCCCTTTCCTCGCTGAGTGACGCATTGAACACTCACCATCTCTAGATGTTCGAATCCGTACCTGCCTTTACAGCAAGTACTGAGTATACCAAGAAGGTTAAATTTAAACCTCCTTGAGTATACTAACAGAATATTTAGTCTTTGATTTCTGTGCCTGCAGTAGTTCAGACTGTCAACTGGACTAAAGTAAGCTTTATAAGGACAGGGTCATTTATTTTGTGAGGTGGCATTTCCTGTGGAATAACACACGTTGTTGTTGCTGCGTTTTTCTTGTTATTTTTTAGGACCAAACGCAACGTGTCAAGGCGTCACCCCGTTTTCTTACGTTATTTTTTTTATGGGTTCACCACACCACGAAGTGGTGGTGAACCCATATTGCTTTTTCTGATGTTTCTTCTTCTTCTTCTTCTTCTCCTCCTGCCATTTTTTTAAATGGATTCAGCTTCTTCATTTTAGGGCCCAAGGTCCTGAAATTTGGTATGGAGGTACAGTGGGCAAATACCCCTAGGCGTTTTTTGAATTTTTGTGATACGGGCTTTTATAATGGTTTTATTTGAGTTTTTTGGCTGTGTTATAGCAAATGTATTACTGTGTTAGTGTACCACGTTTGGGCATGAGTTGGGCATGAGTCATCACAATGGAATGCAGGGCATCAACCAATAGGCATGCAGCTTTCCTCTATTCTTCTTGCTGATTGGCTGTTGGGATTTAACTTGATTAACACCTGCACAGAGCATTTCCACCTGCACAGAGCATTTCTTGCTGATTGGCTGTTGGGATTTAACTTGATTAACACCTGCACAGAGCATTTCCATACTAACAGTATGTCTGTATTCAAGTGTTTTGGTAGGTATTTCAAGCTTTCCTGCTCCAGCATTGGAATGCGGGGCATGAACGTTTTTTTTTTATTTTGAAAATCAACAGTTTGCATTATGCAATTAAAAATCCTAACCAATAAAGTAGGGAATAGCTATCCAACTGTTGTTTTAGTTGTATGTTACTTCATATTATAGTTATATCAATGTAAATCATTGTTTTCCCTTCTGTTTCTCATTCTTTCCCTGCCATGTCGTAAAATGTGGTGAACCCATCGCTGTATTTGCTCCAAAGCAAATATTGGCCTTTCTAGTCTCTCTTGGTACCCCTGCATTAAGTATTATGTAACATTTTTGCAACAAAAAATGAAATGTTTTATGGAAAAATTGTCATTTTCATACGTATTTGTGCTATTATTTCACATTTCTGACATTTATGGTAAGACAGCCCACACGAGGCGCACTCATTTTGTGGTACCACCAGAATATACAAGAATGTAAACATGACTGATATCTTTTTTTGCAGCTTTAAAACACACCCATATTTAATATTTTGGCCCCTCCACTTCCTGAGTGGTACTTACAGGTGGAATACAATGATGTGCTAATTCTGTATTTTGAACTATTTGAGGTGGAATGCATTCAAATGACGTGCTCAAATGAACCGACTGTAGGGCACTATATAGGTGAAATCTGCAAGCAGATGTTTGGGGAAAGTACTGACTGATCTACCTTTGACCTGCGAGCCCTCCCATTTTTTATCACTGTAACAATCAGTAACACCACTGACTTGTTGTTATTTGTTAAGTTCAGCTACTGGTCATGTTAATGGCATCATTGCAGTCATCATTTTGTGGGTAAATTCGCGACTTTTTTATGGGAATCCAAGTAATTATGCAATTGATTTCTGTCTTATGGCTCATTGCTATCGGTATTACTTTTGTTGACATATTCTGTTGCTTATTTAATTAGCAAAACGACCCATGCAATCAGATATCGACAAGCAATCAGAGATCATCAGAGCCCGGTAGCTACCAGAAAACAGCGGGTAGTAGTAATTATCTCCAAGCAGATCTTTCGGTGGGGGTAAGACAGTATCAAAAGTACTACTATCATATGGCCTCTGAACTAGGGAAAATATAGTTCAATTTAGACATTTCATAAGTAAGTTTTTCCAGGACGTGACATTGCTTTTACCAAGGAGGTTAAATACTGCTTTTACAAAGTTTTAGTAAGAACCACTCTGGTCGTTTTGTTAAATTTCTAATGTCCAAATTCTTTAAAATGTATAATACCCTTGATGTGATGCACATTGCAATAAGACGATGGACACTGAAAAAATAATTTTGTGATCATTGCAAACGCATAAGACCCCTAACCCTCAATTTGACGGGAATAGCTCCCCTTCTCTCCCATAGCCGTGTAACGAGACACGTTGGTCTATCACTCTCTGATAATGATTGCATTCCTATTGTTATATATGGTATTTTCCCAGGGTCGGAGAGTTCCAGTATGTTTTCTACAGTCACGCCTTATTCCCCGGGTTATCCCACGGGAGGGACCCTCACCTCGGCCCGGGGTGTCCCACGGGAGGGACCCTCACCTCGGCCCGGGGTGTCCCACGGGAGGAACCCTCACCTCGGCCCGGGGTGTCCCACGGGAGGGACTCTCACCTCGGAAGAAAAACCTTCCCATTTGCGAGTGACAAGAGGCTTCACAGCACTTGTGTCAATTAATCAGTCTCATTTCGTGTAATCCCCGCTCAATACATATTTATGTGGGCCATTTCCTACTGTGCCGATTTCCATAATCAGGCGATCCTATTGAAGAAGACTCCCCAAGTACCCGAAGCGACCTTTGAAACTCTCTGCAGGTGAAACAAGAATCTGATCCGGGTCATGTTTATCAATTACCCATGCCATTCTATACTATTCATGTTTTGTGGTGCCCGAGTCTCTCCTTACCAGTTAGCAACAATAACCTCTTTGAATCGGAAATGTTGCCCCCAGCCCGTCACGGTAATAGACTAAGGGCGCAGTAATACAAGCCGCGCTGCGCTGGACCCGTACGACTAGTCGGGTTTGTGCTCTCAGAGTGAGAGGGCGCAGGGAGAAGATTTGTGGGGATCAGCACGTACAGACAAGGGATCGACCCGGACAAGGCTGGCGAGGGGGAAACGTAATCATAACACAGCCGCATCTCATCGAGACTGTGTCTGTCAGTGGCGGAGGAGGGTAATGTCGGGTCCGGGGCGCTGGGGGAGTTTAGCCGCGCAGCTGTTCGGGGGCATTCCGCGTGCAGGGCCGACGCGAATGGTGCCGGTGATTCTCCTGCTCGCGTTCTCCCAGCTCTCGGGGACGGCGGCGACGCAAGTTGACGTCGAAGAGGTGGCGAAACTTGCGGGGTACGTCAATGTATCCTGTAGCGACGCCCTGGTGGCGTGCACAGACAGTAACTCGTGCTACCGAGCGTACTACAATTACGTCTACGCGTGCACGGGGGTCCTAACCGGAGAGGTGACCGACCAGTGTCCCGTCAGCTGTCAGACCGCCCTGCAGTCTCTTCTGTCAGAACGAGGAAGGGCGAGTGTTGGAATCCTGCAACTGTACGGGACCAGAGGAAGACCGCTGCACACAGCTGAGACAGAGGGTGGAAATCTGCCGACCGACACTGTACGAAGGTTCGAACGCATCCAGGGTCGTCGGCTGCACGGAAGCCACTCAGATCTGCAGCCAAAGTGAATCCTGCGTACGGGCGAAGGACAACTATTTAGTGTCCTGGTTCACAGCTTTTCAACGGCCTGGAGTGTTCCCAAACGTGTATGGACAGCATTAACCATTTCTACAGCCAGGAAGAAGTAGAACTGTTGCAAAATTGCGTGTGCGACGGACCGGAAAGACCCATTTGCGTCGCCATCAAAAACAACATGGAGCGGCTATGTCATGGGAATACTGGGAGAGAGGGAGGGAGCTCCAACTCAGAGAACCAGTCAAGACCCGCTAGCACAGCTCCTACATCGTTACACTCCACAACAAGGACAA